CCCTGCTATGAAGAGTTTTCTGACAATGCTTTAGGTTTGCGGGCATGACCAATCTTCAGACCATGCTTTATTACAGAACGTACAAAAAGGATCCTGTTCCAGTTAAATCTCTGGTAACTGTCTACAACGAAACTATCCCCTTCCGACCTTCATACCTCTTTTAGGTGTTTTGTGTTTGGTAGGGTCCAACCCTTAGTGGTTTTCCAGCAACTAAACAATATGTCTACTGCAAAGGTTATTGGATAATCTTCACACAGGATTCGTTTGGGCAACGTTGTGGCATTGCCTGATCGAAGACTACGGACAGCCTGAGAAGATCAACATTATTCCTTGGTGCGCTGCTTTCCTCCTGGACTACTCATATACTACTAATGGGTGTGTAGGTGTATTGCAGTGCGTTTCAGCAGTTACCAAAATAATCCTATCGATTTTGAACTCCAACATCTAGCTTACCCTCCTAACTGTTTGTAACATCTTGCTTGTTAGGCCACTCGGAATTCTTACTGTCCACCCAAATCCTAACAGGAACTCCTGACATTCCTCGTACACTGGTAAGCAATCAAAGAAATCTATATTCTCCACTGCTAGGATAATTACATTCCGATTCTGCGCAGTTTTCTCGCACATCGGATATTTTTGCTCAGCAAGAAGAATTTGTTCATGACCTTACCTGCTGTACGCCAGCTTTGTTATTCATGAGAAGACCCATAAACCCTCTCACAGCTTGTTCTCACCTTCATTCGTCTTGGTAAATATTGTCCTCGAAGAAGTACTGCTGAACCTCAATTCATCTCATTCAAGGTGCCTCCTCGGGTAAGTCGCTACTGCTGCCCTTCAAGAACCCGTAACCTTACCACTGACAGCCTCGACATGGGCAATATACGTCGCGTCAACATTGCCGCCGGCTCCTTTGATGTAGTGATCAATCGAGGCTTCATTTCCAAGACTTTTCACTCTTCCAGAAACATGCCAGTATCAGTGAATCTTTTCTTCCCCTTCACCTTCTGGGATTGATTCTCTCAAAGTGGATCTTCACCCTTGGACTTTCGCTCTCTTCTGCCAATGATATCCTCACCACCGGCTTGCTTGTTTTCTTGTTCCTATCAAATAAAACCGGGACTGGACGGTAAATTTGCCGGATATGCAAACGATCTTGACAATGATATTTTTTCGCAGTCTCAACCACGTCCTCGAAAAGTTGATAATGAATGGTTTGGAGACTGGTATGGGCATCGTTGACTTTCCAGATGACCATTATTGATTTAAATTTATTTTGTAGGCTCCTTGACATGGTAAACCTCAAAAATGTTTCGCTATTGCGTTGTTCAACATTAAATCTAACCAGCGTCGGCATCCTCGTAACTATGCTATGTGTAATGATTATTCCTACTGCATAGAATCAGCTGACTGTGTCGCTCTCAGTGGGTACTTGCGTCCCAGGTCCTCATCTTTCTAGGGTTGCATTTCGTCATGGGGAAATTCTACGCGAATTCGCTGCTCGTGACGTGCGTCCAATCCTTCCCCTTTCCCCCAATTTCCTTTTAAAATTCGTTCTCTTACAGCCTTAACACGCGAATGAACCTTCATTCTCATAGCCGATCAGCCTGTTCGTGCAACGAAACTCGAGGTCCAATTGTTTTTCTGGAGCCGCGCACACCAAAGGCGACTGGGAAATATCTGGTAGGTGTTTCCCAACTGATGCAAGGCTGCTACGTAGATTGACATGGCACTGATGCCGGGATGGCCCGTCCACCACTAACAAAGTCCCCGAGGTATTTATTTCCTGACCAGTCACTTCACGATCCTTATCTCCCTCAAGGATTTGCAAATCAATGTCACGGTCCAGACGCAGATGAGTGTACACCGTGACTACGACGCGGAATCCATCTCCAGCATGTGACTGTGGAAAGCAAATGGAAAGCTTTGTAACTTCGCGGAAACTGGATGAAGGCCAACAAACAAGAGACCTCATCTACACAAATTCCCATCGTATTCTTAGTCCCTAGAAATGTTATGTTTAGTTATCATAAACCGTCCCCACTGTGTAGATTTAATTCCGCTGACATTAAAGCAAAAGCCTTGGTCGATTATTGGAAATCACCTCAGTCGGATTATGGCCTTCTGACATCGACAATGGGCCACGCAGGTTCGAATCCTGCCCAAGGCATTTGTCGCCCTCCAGAACCTTTTTCATATGTATTTACCGAGGCCCACCTCAATTCCAGCTCACATATTTCTGGACTACGTGTTGTGAATACAGCCTTGGTTGATTATTGGAAACACCCCGGCTGGATGTCGCATTCTCAGTCAACGTATTGATGGGGCTACCGGACCCACTTTCAATTCTAGTTCACATATTTCAGGACTGCGTGTAGTGGAGAAAGCCTTGGTTGACTATTGGAAACACCTTGGCTGGATATACTCACACAGGATTTCTTGCGTTCATGGAGTTACGCCGGTTCAAATCCTGCCCAAGGCGTGCTAGGCATTCTAGATTCTTTTCTAGGTACGTGCGGTCGACCCACCTCGATTCCACCCTGCACCGCGTGGAGTGTAGAAAGCCTTGATTGAGTACTGAAAATCACCCCAGCCCGATACACACCGCATCTCTGAGTTCATGGGCTACGCAGGTTCGAATCCTGCCCAAGGCATTCGAAGCCATTCGCAGTATTTTTGTCTGTACGCATTGCCATCTCACCTTTTCCAACTCAGTTGTTTGGTCGTCTACGATGAGCCCAGAGATTTTGGTGGCGGAATGGAAAGATGAACTTTGGAGACGCAGAAGACTCTGTCTAGGAAATCGATTATAGGGGCATCCGACTAGGTAAGATCGGACGATGATCAGTCAATGTTGGTATAGGATGTAGGGACTGACATCTAGGGTCTCCCTCTTCTTCTTCAGGGGAGATGTAGGGGAGAGAAATAGACACCGAAAAGGCGCGCGAGGTAACCGAAAGAAGAGCTCATCGCACTGCTGCTGCTGCGCCCAAGAACCCTTTTCTGATTTTTCGCGATCTGTAACTTGTATAGCCCGTGGAGTGCACAGGCGTCTATAGATAGACCGAACGCATAAGTGGACAGTTTGGGATAGGGTACAAGGAAAACAACTCGACGGGGTAGGTGATACCGACATTGGGGGCAAGCCTTTTGGGCAATGCGACTGAACCGAGGGAGATTCATCTCACTAACTGGTGTGTGGGCCTCCTGCTACCCGGATCAAGGGGGAGAAAATGGAGAGGACGGAAGATAAGATCTTACACAGATCTTGCGTGTCTTCTCGAGGTCCTCGATAAAGATGTGGACTCTGCCCGAGACGATCATTATGCCTACCAAATTTCTTCAGGAGTTCGAAAAACATATGTTCAGTCAGGAGATCTTCCAAGTGAATTTATACGAGAGAGAGCTGGGAGTGAACCACTTGCAGAGTAGAGCCCGAGGGCCGGCCAGCCGTCTCGTCGATACGAGAGACTCTGGAGAGCATGCCGTCCTATGTCGTTTGGAGAAATCATGGGGGCGTCGGGTTGTCGATGTTTAAAGGGGATAACCACCTGTTTGCGCGTTGGGAATTCCGTGGCACGGCGAGGTGTGAGTCTATACTAGAAGAATGGGACTCACGACAATGGGACTCGGCTAACTTGGCGCGCCGATTCTACAATCAATTTGATCATCAATCTCGGCAACTGCTCGGCTTTCTGGGGGAAGGCTCCCCCAGGCCCCACCCTTTCGCTGGTGCGGCCCTTTCCGTTGGCACGGAGCCTTTTTCGCTGGTGCGAAGCCTTTTCCGCTGGCGCGGGGCCTTTTTATTTTTCCTCACATGTTTTTACGGCTAATTATGTATTTATTTGGTTACATCTTACGCGGGGGAGACCCCCGTGGACCCCCCTTGTCGCTCGCCGCTGGGCCCGCTGTGCGGTGCATTTTCGCTCGCCGCTGGGCCCACTGCGTGGTGTTACCGCTCGCCGCGGGGCCCACTGCGTGGTGCTTGCACATTCGGCACTTGCGGCACCTGCGTAGCAGAGCTTAAACTCATCTGATGTGTTGCTACCCGAGTCCCATTCTTGATCATTAAGCGATGTTACAGCTGTTCCTGAAAATAATGGCAAACACTTTTTTTTTCGGGCACTTCCCAAAAAGGAAACTTGTACTGTCCGGAAGCCGCCATGAGCGCTGTTCAGCACCTGTACACTATAAAATCCATCTGATATCTTGGATGGATGTCTAGACCCCATAGATATATAGAAGAACTAAAAATCGCGACTTCAATTTTCGGTCAACCGGATTCATGGAGTTGACATATCCTATCGGCGGGCACATATGGTTCCCCTGCAGGCATGCTCCATATGGCTCGAAACATCATCCCTAGCGAAACAGAATTCATTCCAACCCTCGGGGTGCACCAGTGGGAAGGATATCGCTCTGTAAAGCGGGGAGTTTCCTTTTTGGGAATGTCGCAAAAAAAAATTGTGTTTGCCATTATTTTCAGGAAGTGCTGTAAGCGAGCTAAGCGACGTTAAGCGAGATATTAGCCGGTCCCATCGTCGCGAGTCCCATTCTTCTCGTCGATACTCGCGAGGTGTCGTGGTTTGGAAGAGAGTGACGAGGGCGCGTGATATCACGTATCATGCAACGCTTTGGCGTGTCCGGCGCGTGGCGTGTGCGCGTCAACCCGCGCGTTTGACATCCCCTTCCGAGGGCACGGATCAGATATCAAGCCTAAAGCAGTAATTGGAATGGTTCCCTAGCCTGACGCGCGTTGGACTCACAACACACAACAACAAGACGCATTAACATGCCGGCGACCGGCGGGTTCACCATGGTTGGGAATTTCCCCATTGAACCCTCGATGGTGGGTAGAGATAGTGGGCCGTGGAATAACATTCAATTGTATTCAAGTCCATGTCTGGGCAGCTCAGCAGGTAGCTACCGGACAAGACTGCACCGTTACATTGTCCCCAGCAATCCCTGGTCCTCGCCACAGCATTTAATCTGTATGTTTCCATGCCTCCATGGGATAATGGTACTGACCCCTCAAAGTGAGCTTCGGCTCATTAGATGTGGTCGAGGGTTCGAATACCTCTGAGGGTTCAATTCCCTCTGGAGGCACTGGGCTGTGCATATTGGTTCGGAACTCGGGGTCTGGCCCCCGAGGCAGGCCTGAGCCCATAGAATTGGGAATGTTGCGCCAACGGGCAGAGGGCGTTTCACCAGTTGGCGCGTTGTATTAGTCACTAACTTCCCCAACGGCAATATCTTTTTTGGCCTTTTGAATTGTGGTTTCTCTGTTTGTTTGAACTCAGCTAACACACAGATCTGATTTATAACTTTCCGCATGTTTAGGAAGCGGACCGAGAGAAGATTAGTTCCGGCTTTGCCGTGCTGCTATCTCATTAATATTAGTCCCATATTAGTCCCTAGCGACGGAACCACCCCAGCACTTCGTGGAAGGCCTAATTTTTGGACAGGCGTTGGATTCCTCCCGAAGGATGATTAAGCCGCAGCGATCGTATGCGTAACCCACGGGCAGCTCAGCAAACATGTTTCGTGATCCAACACGAAAACTGCATATTGAAGACACCAAGAAAACAGAATAGCAAATGGAACAAGAAATCGAACCCACGGAGGTTTCCGATTCATGCACGAAGAAACTTCTCCCACCCAGCCTGTGTTGTCTGCATCTTTTCTGGTCAAGAAATGTCGCGAGTCTTGACAATTACCATAGCGGCTCCCAGTTCCAGAAAATTTCGCCGCTTTGGCGATCCCCGTATGCACCCACTACATACGTTGCAATGTTAGTATCAACACGTCTCGGTTTAACGCACGTGGCACGTACTAATTTTTTTCGCGGTTTTTTCTTTCACCGTGCCATCGGGCATGGGGTTGCGCCACTGGAACATGAAATAGAAACCGTCGAGCCACAGCCACGTCAGACCGGGGCATCGCGCCACGAGCGCGTCGCGCAATTGTGTGAAGTCGGGAATTTTGTAGGCGCTGAGTTCGTCGAAATGCTCCTCATAACATTCCCAAGATATTGCAAGGCGCTCGAGGCTCGGCGGAAGAATGGGGGCGTCGGCGAGCTTTAGGAAGAATGTTGACGGCTACACCAGGGTTAATGAATGGGATGCAACTAGCCAGGGACGACTGCACCTTGAAACCAGCTCTAATGGAATCGCCAAATCAACCGTCCACCACCTCATCGTCCTTCAATTTATGGGTGTCAAATATCTCGCGTTTGAACATGCGGGATGTGCTTGGGACAACAATGCGGATTAGGAGCTTTATGAGCCGAGGAAGGAGTTCCATTATTGTGTTAAATGTCGGATTGTCGAACGTGTTGAATTCTACGTGGAATAAGGTGATATTAGGGCCCTGGATGCCCTGAATGCGTGTTATGAAGTCCTGGGGACTGCAGCGTGGGATGATGAGGTGCGTGAGGGTGTTAAGAGGAAGGAACAATGGGAGAGGCTGGTAGGGGCCGGAATACTCTCTGAGAAGGGGGAAAACGGAAGATGCTTGCTTGCGTGTGTGAAACGAAGTGGGGGAAGATGATGGATGAGACCGCTAGTGGCGGCTCGACTCGGACACAGATGGACGCAGAAGGCAAGACGACAATCCATTAGGTAACTACGTCAGTACCGTAGCACGCCGAAACAAACAAGTATTCTAACAGCGCGGCCGCAGGGCGAGAGCATCCGTTAAGAGCCCCTTTCCCCCTAATTTGAGCACGCGTACGGCGAGGAATCTGGACAGGACAACCAAGTTTTGGGACGGTGTTGGGAGATCCATGGTGATGCTCAATCTATGCACATTATGAAATAAAACAAGCCTATCTTAAGGGACTTAAGTTTGCACAGAACTTAAGTTATTTTGCGCAAAACTTAAGATCTGCTAACGTGCCTGCCACCGGGTATAGCACACATTTAAATTGTGTCCCCCGCACTGTACTCAAACTTAAGTTGTACGCACCCCTCAAGTTTCATCCACAACTTGAGTCCCATCCACAACTGAAGTCTTCACAACTTGAGTTCTATTCGCACTTAAGTGCGGCCAACTTCTACTTAAGTTTTACACCTGCATCCCGATCACACTTCCTCCGTAGGGCCTGTGGTAAGGCCCAACATATCGAAGCGCACACAGTGACCTCGGCCACGAATCAACCCGCAAATGCAATACAGCTCAGGTGCCGCCTCCACACCCGTTGCCGCCTCAAAGGCAATTCCTGCAGACTGTGTGCATGCGACGGCATTCAGCGCCGAATCCGATTCGGGCGCATCAAGTCACACGCTGCAGTTGCTGTCAATTGCCCCTGCCGCCTCGGAAGCGATTCGCGCATACACGACGCCAGCGTCTAACTAGGCACCGGCGCACTCAGCACCATTTGCGCGTAGTTGCATGAGAGACCCACGTGCATCAACTTGATGGTGGGGTGGGGTGCAGGGGAGTGGAAGAAGGGAATTGGGGACAGGCACATAGCGATAGGAAGGGAAGAGAAGGATGTGGTGGAGAGGCGATCAGCAGAATGAGACGCACCGGATGTAGCAGGATGTGGAGCGTGCGCGTTCCGTGTTGAGCGCAATGTGCAAAAAAAAACACGTTCAGAGGTCACAGTGAGCATACCAAATAAACGGGATGGTACAAGGTACGCACCAAATAAATAGGGTTATGTACAATTTCACCATCTACTGGGTGGCATAACATCAATCTTAACTTGCCAGCTCATCGAAAGTTGGCACTGAAGCCCAATGAATCCTAATCAATTAGAGACAACTTGGCAAGAACTCACTGGGCCTTGGTTGGTTGGTGGTCAGTGCAGCACATTCTGTGGGTGGGTCGTGGACAGAAGAGAAGTTAGAATGAGTAACGTGTGACAGGACTGAATCACAATGGTGGCCGAGATCGCCAAACATGCCACAACACATCACTTCGACTTGGCTGAGTTGGCTCTAACTTCGATGAGCTCTTCGCTGCTCTCCTCGACACTTCACCCTCGCATATCCCACCATTCGTTCAGATCACTTTGTGCAGGCTCAAGCTCAGTTGTGCTGGCCTTTGACTGACCTCTGATGTCAATGACTTTCCGCTGTCCGGTGGCATTCTGGTGTGCCACCCTGTTTGTGTTTATAAAATCAGGAACTAACTATGCAACCCAATATGTCTGCAGTATTGTTTATCCTTGCCACAGGGAAGTTTCTGTGTTGTGTACTCTGTCTTCCATCAATATTAATATCACTAGTTATTCCAGGGATTCATACCACATTCTGGAACTCAAGCTCTCGGTAGAACTGAAGACGGAGTAGAAGTCGGGAAACTTCAGTTCGGTCAAAAACTCAAGTACTTCATTAATTAAAGATATTATGTTTATATGAACTTATCTCAATTTCCTGACTGAGGGTCGAACTCAAGTCATGCGCAAACTAAGATCAAGGTTTCAGTGCAGTGATATGTACCACATAGGTAGGGTACAGTGGAAGGACTTAAGGTGTAGTAAAACTTAAGTCTGAAAAGGGATGGAACCGCCCAGAACTTAAGATGAGCTAATAAAGTATTTGGCACATTTGGGAAAGACGGGATCACCTCTACTGTTCGAGAATTGAAGTCGGCGTGGAGTGCGTGGAGGTGGTCTGGATGGAGCAGAGGGATCCAGTAATTGTCTCCGTACTCAAGTTTGTTGTCGGAAACGAGACGGAAGTCGGATACGCGTAATGCCTGGGGAGCGGGTACGATACGTTCTCCAGGAGCAACGGTACACCAATAGACACGGAGCTCGGATAGGATCGGTAAATGGCATAGGGTATCTACCCTGGCCTGCGTGAAATGAACGGAGCTTGCGTCGAGGCGTTGGAGGCGTGTGAAATGTAAAAGGCGCTCGAACAGTGCGTCTAATAAGATATATGGAGAATCCGTTGAGAAGGACCACTCAGACGAGTTTCTGTGCTCCCAGGATTTCCGCGCAGTGATGTCACAATACCGAACAAGAGGTGCTATTTCAGCGGAGCAGCAGAAATTGAGGCGCTCCAAGCGACGGTCTACTTCCGTAGGCGAGGGAAGAAGTAAGACCCCATGTTCAGAGAGACAATATGGGGTGAAGCGCAAGTCGGCAAACAGGCGTGGGCGAGATACGTGGCGGAAGGTGCGGCAAGTCAAAGAAAAATTTCGGACAGTGGAGCGGTCGTACTCGGAAACATTCTTCAGCATTTCGAGCCATAGCTCATTTGAAACTCGATCCCAAGAGCTCATTGGGAGTATCTAGAACGCTCGAGAGCGGGAATCGAGTGGAGAGGAAAGAGAAGAGAAAGTACAAAGACGACGTGGATGATTATGATTCTTTGTGATGGCATCACCGGCGAGTGCCGGGCATTGCATGTTCGACACTAAGTCTTCATCCATGTCACGGTGCTCGCCCACACAGTGGATTCTGATTTTCACCCGTGCGGAACATCTAGCCTGTAGACTTGCAGTTTCAACATTCTTACATAAGTAACCCACTGTTGACTCAGTGCAATTGGGGTGCAAAATACCTCGTACCCATATTTCATCTTTCTATGGACAACCTCAGGCTGACTTTCAGTTTGTATCGCAAACCTATTGACGGCTAAACGGACCCATTAACTAAGCGGACCCATTAAAACGGTTAAACGAACCCTTTGACTCTATTAAGGGACAAATGCGTCCGTTTAGCCGTCCTCTTCGTCAGTATTGTTCAAAATCTTGCTTTATCACTCTACAAACGCTATAAAGACTAGTTTGCCTATTTAACCACCTTCAATCCACAACCCCATGAGCAATATGGCCTACTCATTCGCAGCAACCCGACTCGTCAACCCGCCTGGCGTCGAGCCAGTTATCACTGAGGATCAACTCTGGAAAGCGCTCGAATTCAAAGCGCGCAATCCAAGCGTACGTCTCGCTCCCAGTGTTTCTTCATCCTGTCCTGATCTTGGCATAGGCTTTTGTCCCAATGATATCTTCGTGCAAGGTGTCCGTCGATGACGGAAAGAAGGTCCGTTAGAATTCACGTTCAGTCACTTGCAGCGATATTGACGGACGGGCAGCTTGTACGCGAAGTAACATTCGGAAGCTCGCCAAATATTATCACGGAGGAAATC